CATACACATAAAATATGAATATGTACTTTTAAAAATATATTTATACATGTTTTATACTAATATTTTATAAAAACCTAGTATATGTGATTAAGTTGAGTTAATCTCCCACATAAATAAGATAGCTAATTTTATCATCTTCAGTGAGAGCTGAACATTTCAAGTAGGTAAGACAAATCAGTATATAAGGAAACTTCAAAAAGCTCATGGGAAAGTGGAATTAAGAGATAAGTTTATTTTTGTGCAAAAATACTTGAAATCCATGGATATTTTTTTCCTAATACACATTTCCATGAACTTTTTGTAAGTCTCTCATATACTTGAGGACAGTAACTTACATCATGACTACAAAAAGGACATTAGTGTCTCCATTCCAATGTAAGTAGTAATAGAAGTTAGTCTGGAAGATATTTTACAACCCCAAACACATACACACATATACATACATGCACATAAACATATCCACATATGTGCACAAGCACACACACATACATATAGTATACACACATACACAAATACATGTACACACCATAAATATACACATGTACAAATACACAGGCATAAATATATTAATAGATATGCACAGTTGTCCACAAATACATAAATAAGTTTATTCTGTCAGAGGCCCAAAAGAAGAGGACAAAGCACTGAAAGCTATAACTGCATTTTAATTGTACTAACCTCTGAGTGCTAAAAAAAATGAGTGATTATCTTTTATAGTTTTCTACATTTTTAAATCACCATGAATGCACATATATCAGTTTTTATAATTGACAAAAACATTACTCAAAGTTCACATAATATGTCAATGACCTTTTTTGTATACTTCTACACAATTCTTCTTACTTACTCTCATTCATTAGATTGCTGGTTCATATGTTTAGTATACCATAAATAAACATACTGAGCACCTTGCATATATAATAGCCATGGACCTAGAGGATAGGGTTATAGTGTAGAAAGCAGTCTCTTCCATCATAGACAATTCATTGGAACACAATCTCCCAAATAAACAAATAATCATGATTTTCTGACAGAAAGATCTACTCTGTTACAAGGACCATAATAAATTTAATTTGGATTCAGTTGGCCAAAGAAGACTTCCTGAAGGAAATAAGTACAAAATTGAAATTTGAAAAACCTGGATTAGCTGGAGTTAGCCCTGACTTGGGAATACATCTTTCATTTTTTTTAAAGGATCAATGTTGTTCCCACACTGAAATATTCAAGCGTGTTTCACTTTCCATCATGATGAACCTACCACTCAGAACGCATAAATTTAAAAATCCTTCTCATTAAATTTATATTAATGACTTTCATTAAGTGTTGGTTTAGTTTCAGCACCACGACTCTATTGCACATTAGATTTTACTAAAATGATATTGTTACAGGGACCTAATTTATTCACACAGATTATGTAAGGTAACACAGTCTTAGGAAAAGACCATAAATTATGATTGGTGATGGGGAAGATAAAGCCAATCAAATTTCCTGCCAATAACATTTTTTATTTCAATGAATACCATGTGGTATAAACTAGAAGAATTGTATCACCAATTGGATGTTTTCTTGAGGGCTATGGCCAAGCCTCTTCTCTGTCAGGATGAGTTGAGTAGAAGAGATGATTGGTGGAAAAAATAAACACATTGCACTTTTCTTGATGGTCAGAAGCACATAAACACCATTCTTGAACTTTAAATAGAACTAAACAGCACCTCTTAAGTCGAATATTTTACCCACATTTCAACGTAACACAAATTCCACTGGACTACATGGCAGCCAGACTCCCCAAAGCAGTCTCATGACCACTAAAGCAGCAGCAGGAATCTGGGCTGTTGTTTATCTGACCTAGAGTCTCATCCAGGCTCTCAGTGGGGCTACCTGGAACTGGCCGCGCCCTGGTCTCTGTTTTGGGCCCATTCATATTCTCACTGGAGATGCACTGGAGACTTTTACCAACAGACTGAACTCAGAGAACAATCTCCCCTGGGAACACTGTTTTGCTCTTTACAAAGGAAGGTGAAGATTTGAATGGTGTGCCTTGAAAATTACATGAGTTTACTTTTAGATGTTTTTCATTGCACCAAACAGCACAGCTCTTACAGAATGGATTTAAGCAAAGAGCCTATCCCTTATAATGTATGTGTTTCTTCTTCCTTTCTTTTTAGTGGAACAACCATGGAGCGCTTGAATCACTTTCTTTTGGAAAAAAAAAAAATGCAAATATTCTCAAAGACTAGCTAAGTGACTTTTTAAAACACACCTACAGCAAATAGATATTAAATTCAAAAGAAAGGAGTTTGATACTTACAAGCATATTATTATCAAGCCTACTAGAAATGGAAGTCTGAAATCAAGGTTATTAGAAACACTGAAATGAATTTTGAGAACATGTGGGTTATAAGAGTGTGTAGGTTATAGGGAGAATTTAAGCTTGGATCAAAGCCAGTGCAATATGTGGAGGAGTAAGGGAAGACGGCACATTTCATTTCCTATGGATTTGGAAGAGTACAAAATGAAAGTCACCAATCAAATACATGCTGTATCCCAATGTCAGTAGAACATCATTAGTATAAATTACATACTTTGCATGATTTAAAAAATACTCTGCCTTTTCCCTTTAAGTGTGAAGATGTAGTAGTCATACATACAAATAAGACAATAAGCAAGTTACTCAGCTACATGAAAAATATTCAAAAAGTTATTGGAAATGTACATTATGAAAAAAACTGCATGGATTTCAAACTTTTAGGTAGCAAAGTAAACTTATTTGAAATTATATTTTCCATAAAATTTTTGAAATACCCTCATAAAAAACATAAATTGTTTAGTCATTCTTTAGCAGTACTACTATGCCTGCAAGTCATTTTCAGTGTGTTCAAATCTGAACTAGTAAATTAGTGCTAACTATCCAATTAGTATTTGTTGATTCTTACCAAAGTTTATTCAATGCCTAACAAAGTCCTATGTTTTTAAAAATATAATCTCCCATTTGGACAATCCATTAAATATAAAAAGACTCAAAGACCAGTGTCCTGTTTGCTTTTGGAATACATGCTATGATAAATACCTTGATGCAGACATAATTATCTGAGCTGACCTAGTCTTTAGGTTGAATGACCAGGTTAAGATTGCATCGAGACTCCATCATTTAGTTTCATGGTCCCCCATTTCATCTGGATTTTCCTAGGTCCTACAAATCCTATCTGTTTGGTGACACTGTTCTATCAAGCTTTCAGACTCTCTCTAATGTTTGGAGACCTTGCTTCCTTCAGACGGAAGGAAGGCATGAGAAGTAGAGGAAACCAACATCAGGAACAGGCCACCCCTCTTAATCAAGGGAAGACATTCTGTCTTCTGTAGGATTCTAATAGACCGTAGCCCATATGGTAGCAGCAATGTGAAACTTTATAATTAAGCTCACTTTTTAATCATGAATGATGTTTTTAGTGAAAGAAAACAGGCCTTACAATCGGATGGCTGCTACTTTCTCTGAAATGTTAAGGCTGCATAAAACACAGTTTCAAAAAAAAAAAAAAAAAAAAAGAGAGAGAGAGAGAGAGCAACAAAATTCTTAAAGGCAGTTGCTCAGTTGCTCTTCCTCCACACAAAAAGTAGGCCTCCTTTTAGGGATCTGGTTCTGTGTAAAACTCTGAATACAGAGAGGTAGCCCTGGGCATACAAAAGGCTTCCACTGATGCCCAGCAGCAGGGCTGGGTTGACAAGGCAGATTTGCTTGGCTCCAGGAAGTAAAGGGATCAAAGGCAGGGGCTAATGCAATGAAAGCAGTCCACCTAGGCTCTCCTCTGGGGTGGAATGCTGTCCTGCAGAACAGTGCCTTGTAAAAAAAGGAGCTCCTATGCGTGTTTCTTAGAGATGCCTATCAGATTTGAAGAACTTGGCTGTTGCATGCGTTGACTTTAATGTAAAAAAATGATCTCAGGGCATGGGAACATGATTTCCACAAAGGTATTTTAACTTTTCCAAACACAAAAGTTTGCATGAGATCACAGAAGCCACAAAAGCATGCTCTCTGAATCCTGAAAACTGATTCAGAAATCAATCAGATAACCAGTGAGAGCCTTTGGGGAAGGTACAGACGAATTCTCCCCATGTTGCATCCGAGTTCTAACACTCTCAGGGCTACAATATCTTAATACATTTCATCAACAACATTTGCGAACTAGAAGAGGGTGCAGTAGGCAAACAGGAATGATTACCCACACATGTGTGTACAGCACAGCTCCTTTGCTGCCTTGCAGAGGGAATGGCGTGCCTCTTTTTTGGCATGTGTTCCTGCCTTGAGCTTCCTCTGGCCTTAGAATTATCTGGCAGGTTCTGAAATATCAAAGACAGCTGTGGACCAAGGAAGAGGTCGATCAAGAAGCCCACCCAGAGGTCTCACGGTAAATGGAAATGATACTACAAGACATGGGTACTTCATAAAGTTCATGAAAAAATGGGATTTCTTGAAATCTATGCACTGTATTTTCATCATACACATTTCCACGACCTTTTTGAAGACTCAGACAAAGTTAGCCTTGGTACTATAGACTTTCATGAGTCATTTGCATAGGAAGTCAGAAGACAACAATGAAATAATAAGAAAACAAACTGGGTAAGAGGCAGGCTTGAGAGTCAAATGAGGAAGCCAAAAGCACCGTAAATTTCCTAGTGGCCAGGCTCCTAGAAGGCCACAGACCGAGGAACACTGTTTAAAGAATGTTGCGGGGATTTTTTTATTTCCAATTGGGACCCATGCACCTGTTGATGTATTTTCCAGGCCCTTGGATGATAACAATTTATGAGGCTATTAATACTAAGCCTAAGATTTATCAGATGCGCTGTTTGTCTTATGGCCAATAGAACCTCATAAAATTTGGGCTGAGTTGGGTTAAAATGGAGCACTCTGCTATCACAGTCATCCAGAGCATTTAAATCGGTTAATCCTACAAGAACGGTGCATTTCGTCTGCCTATTAGAGAGTCTTGAGGGATTCCTACCAGTTGCAGGGCCAGGCTGGAGGGGCCGGTCCATGGCTGGGTGAGGTAGAACGGAGGCAGCAGGGGAGGAATGTGCCCTGGAGACAAGACGATGTTTGTCTAATCCATCCGTGCCAACCACAGCCAGCTGAGCTTGGCGCATCGAGCGCGCACGTGTGTGCTGGGGCTCCAGGAAGGGCTGTTGCCAAGAAAAGAGCACAGTAGAAAGAAACATGAGACCTGGATGGAGGGAGACACTGAGAGCGACATGTCAACAAATTAAGTTCATCAGGTCAGAGACATAATAAACGGTGTGAAGGAGAAAGAGAAAAAAAAATAGAGAAAGAGAGAGAAAAAACAAGATCCAGTCAATAAATCCATTCAACAGATGTTTTCACACTGACGGCCAGGGCCTGTCTGCCCGGCTCAGGACGAGGTGATGGCAGGAAGCCTGTCAGTTCGAACTGATTGAAAGAAACAGACCTTTAACCCTGTGAGTAACATCGACTTAGACTCACTTCCTACCTTGATACCAAGGTTCTGAAAACAGCCCCCAAAGTGTCGCCAGACAACGCAGGAAAACAATCCAATTGCTTTCAAACTGCCAACGAGGCTCAATTCTCAAAATTCTAATCGGAATTTATGTCTGTAACATTGCCAATGAAAGGAGGGGTGGCTCTAAATGGCGTCAATTAAATGGTTATATGTTGACAGTTTTCATATAATGGGAAAGAATAATGAATTTTTCAGAGTTTGTAGGATGGATTCTCAATATTATAGAATTATATCGTTTATAGAATATTAAATATCTTCTTGGTGATTTAACATTATTATCCTTCATAGTTCTCAAGTTGTTGAATCAAAGAATCAGAATTTGAAAACTTCTGGAAGATTCCCTTAGTGTATCTAGTAGTCTCTCTCCAAAAAGGGTACTTAGTATTTCTAAGACATAGGCCATTAATTTGATCATCAAAACTACATGGTGAATATTTCCTCTCTTCAACCTCAAGGAATTCATAACTTTTATCCCGATTTTATGTGTTGAGAGATCTTTAGCAGTTTCCTGGAAATACACAGTATGAAAAACCAAAGCAGTATTTCAAAAATTTTTGGCACCAAAATAAACATCTTTTAAATACATTTTTGCACAAAAGTATCCTTTTATCTTACACAGTACGTGTGTGGATTAGCTGAACAGTGTCAAATTATTTTTGTCACACATCATGGATAATGAAAGAGATGCTCCCAGTAGTTAACACAGTCACTTAAGTATATGCCTACCTCCTATAATTTAAAAATGAGCATACTCCTCTGCATTGATCTATTGTGCTAGCATTTACTCTTACAATGCTTAATGCAAACAGCACTGCCCCTTAGGGAAGTCTAACTTCCTGTTAGATTACCTGCTCTCCTTGTACCCAAAATATGACATTGTATGTCACACTCTTCTTGTGTTTCCAGCTTAAGGCCCGGCACACCCTCAATGTACAGGTTACTCCCTTAGTGAGAAAGCTAACATATCTAAATCCAGCATAACTGTACTCAACGTATATTATGTGCCTTCATGCTGTAGTAGCTTTCTTTGTATGACATAAGTTAATGCCACATATAAGTAAACATGTTTATGAATATCAGCTTAGTTATAGACTGTACGCAGAGGTTTGTCCATTTCTTTAAAAAAAAAAAAAGGAAGAATCACTTAAAACTAAATTTGAAATATTTTGCCCTGCCGAATAATCAAATTGAATTGAAAGGCATTTATCACACACTCAGTTTTTGGGCATGTGACCTAAGGACCAGGATGTCTTGATCAGGATGTGGTTCTAGTTGAAATGATTTTAACACTTCTACATGAGTCTCTCCTGTTTGCTTGAGTGTTTCCATGTTCAACGCCCTGAGGATACAGCAGTAAGCCAGGCAGAGCCCCTCCTCTCACTGGAGCTTACGCTGATTATAAGAAGGCAAGTATGTGATGACCACTTAGGGAGGTTTCCAGCAGGAAAAGGAAGCAATTCTGCATGTGATTTAAAATGTAGTAATAAATATTTACCTAATTGCTTCTAATTTCCATCCATCTCTTCTGTAGTCTCTCTCTCTCTCTTTTTTTTTTTTTTTTTTTTTTTTTTTTTGGACAGCCAGAGTTAGACAGTGAGAGAGAGACAAAGAGAGAAAGAGAGAGAGACAGAGAGAAAAGTCTTCCTTTTCCATTGGTTCACCCCCAAAATGGGCGCTGTGGCTGGCCCACTGCACCGATCCCAAGCCAGGAGCCAGGTGCTTCCTCCTGGTCTCCCATGCGGGTGCAGTGTCCCAAGCACTTGGGCCATCCTCCACTGTCCTCCCGGGCCACAGCAGAGAGCTGGACTGGAAGAGCAGCAACCGAGACAGAATCTGGCACCCCAACTGGAACCAGAACCTGGTGTGCCAGCGCCGCAGGCGGAGGATTAGCCTAGTGAGCCAAGGCGCCAGCCTTCTGTAGTCTCTTTAACCCTCATCTAAACCAATGCAAAAGTCTCCTGACTCATCTCTGTACTGCTAATTCCAACTTGTCCTATTAGTTCCTGCAAGAGTTCTCTTCCTAAAACCTTGCTATAGGCTGGCGCTGCGGCTCACTAGGCTAACTCTGCCTTGCGGCGCCGGCACACTGGGTTCTAGTCCCGGTCGGGGTGCCGGATTCTGTCTCGGTTGCCCCTCTTCCAGGCCAGCTCTCTGCTGTGGCCAGGGAGTGCAGTAGAGGATGGCCCAAGTACTTGGGCCCTGCACCCCATGGGAGACCAGGATAAGTGCCTGGCTCCTGCCATTGGATCAGCGTGGTGTGCCGGCCGCGGCGGCCATTGGAGGGTGAACCAACGGCAAAGGAAGACCTTTCTCTCTGTTTCTCTCTCTCACTGTCCACTCTGCCTGTCAAAACAAACAAACAAACAAACAAAAAACCTTGCTATATGCAAAAAGTTGATCAAAAAGGCTCTGAATATCAAACATGATAAAAGAACCATCTCAGCCTGTCAACTGGGCTTTTTCTGAAATAAAATCGATCTCCATTTTTGGCTTCAAGTCATCTAGTGATTTTTTAGATTCATCTGAAAACTCTACCCACTGCACAACAGATAAAAATTCCAGTGGTCCCTGATGATGTTTACCTTTGTGGGTCCCTTCCTGAAAAGAAACACTAAAATTACATTTTAGGCCCACATTGTCATGTATCAAGTTCATCATTAGATATTACTTGTGATTATACTTATTTTCTCTTCCGATTAAGAAATTAAAAGTTAAGAATTGTGTGAGTCCCTAAAAGCATCATGGGTTCCAGGAACAGTTTCTACTCTGTCTAATAGCAATGATGAGGCCAGCCCTGTCCTTCCTGGGTCTGTCACCCTCTGGGTGTGCCCTCGCCGCCCCACATACAGCACTTGCACACATACTCTAAAGTGCACTTCAAGCTTTACAGACAGCCTTTGCAAGCACCCACATTAAACGTGGTTCCCCCTTCTTTCTTATTCCTATCTCACATTCTTGCCTCCCTCCTTTTCCCTGCCTGAGTATTTTAAACTTTATAAAAATTTATTTTCACTTCATTTGAAAGGCAAAGAAAGAGATAAGATCTTCCATCCACTGGTTCTCACTCCAAATATGTACAACAGCTGGGGATGGGTCAGAGCAAAGCCAGGAGATCAGAACTCCATATGGGTCTATCAAGTGGGTGACAGGGACCAAAAAGCATTGGAGACATCCTGGGCTGCCTCCCAGGGTGCACTTTAGCAGGAAGTTGGGTTGGAAGGGAAAGTGCTGGGACTTGGATGAGGCAGTCCCACATGGGACACTGGTGTTCCAAGTGGCATCTCTACTGCTGTTTCGCAACACCTGCCCTGTTGTCTTTCATGTATTAGAAAATTACTGCATGTAATAACTATTGCATGAGATGAGAACAGGGAATTCTAAGCTAAGAAAGTGATAGTTTGAAACACGGAGGATAAATTGGAACTAGGAAGTGGAAGAGTGAAAGGAAGCTCCAGCTACGTTTTGTATGTGTGTTGGTTTGTGTATATGTGTGAGTAGGTGAACACATGCATGTGTCTGAGGATCTTTTCTTGTATATTTGAAAATGCTGTGACGCAGAAACTCAATATATTTCATCTGTTAACTTCTTTCCTGCTTTAGTTTAATATAGTTTCCTATGCTTTCCAGAAGGTAATTAGCTGTGCAATAAAGAATATACAATAGCTATCTTTTTTTTTTTTTTTAATTGACAGAGTTATAGACAGTGAGAGGGAGAGACAGAGAGAAAGGTCTTCCTTCCTTCCGTTGGTTCACTCCCCAAATGGCTGCCATGGCTGGTGCTGCGCTGATCTGAAGCCAGGAGCCAGGTGCTTCCTCCTGGTCTCCCATGCAGGTGCAGGGCCCAATCACCTGGGCCATCCTCCACTGCCTTCCCAGGCCACAGCAGAGAGCTGGACTGGAAGAGGAGCAACTGGGACTAGAACCCGGTGCCTATACGGGATGCCAGCACCGCAGGTGGAGGATTAACCAAGTGAGCCTTGGCATCGGCCCCTACAATAGCTATATAAAAGTTAGAAATTCTGGTTTTCTTTTCAATAACGTAGCCATGTGTTAGGTGACTGGGGTCACTCAATGTTTTATTTCTTAACAAATTGCTCAATGTTGTACCATGTAAATCACACCATCACTTTCTTTTTTAAAAATTGCATATTTCTTCCTGTCTTTGGGCTTCACAGAAACCCTACAGGATAACAGAATGACAGTTTGCTAAATCATAAGCATGATATAAAAGTTATATCTTAAAATTAAACTTTACAACCTCCCAACCAACATTCTCCTTATCTAGCGTCTACCATTAGGAATCTGGCTGTGTAGGTGAGGGGAAAGCAAGTACTCATCCAATAGTACTTATTCATTCATTACATATAAGCATGCACCTATTACCTGCTACCCAAGCAGAAGGCAACAGACCCTGTGTTGTGTTGTACAGACAGCAAAATTAATGAAGTATGGCTCCTGACCTTGTGGGGCAACTCCCAGAATGTATGCACCACCTTATTCCTAGTATTAAGTTCCATGAGGATCTGAGCTTTACCTGTATATTCCCATGCAGTGTTAAAAACAAGACATAGAATCATCCTTACGATTTCACAATGAAGACAAGATAAAACGAGAAAGTCTGTTATAGACAATCATTACATGAAA